TATTGGATTATTTTCTCTCTTTTGAATACTCAGAAGTTTTTCCTTCTAGCATATAAGTTACAAAAACGAATCGACGCCGAGAGTCTCGCCAGAGTACCATTAGATAAACAATGATTTCATATGTATATAGAACAGAGTGCTCTTTGTCTTTAGGTGACGTTTTTGGTTTCGTCTTTGTGAATAGTCTTCAGTCTCCTGGAGCAATCAGGAGAGTAAAGACGGTCCTTCCTCGTACATCAAATTAATAAACTAAAAAGGGATAAGTTTAATTCACTGCGTTTTACTTTTATTTATCTACCCATTTCCAATAGTTTCTGTTCCTGCATGAACAGTTGGAATCTTTGCCGAGTACCGAATGGTATAACTTAAAATCTCTACCCTTATTTTTTTTTTCAATAATGAAAAGAGATCGGATTGCCCGGAAGGAGAAGCATAAATAAAATTACATCGTCAGATTCTGATTTGGATACTGATAAATATAATCTTAGTGATAATGAATGTTATGAAGATACTATTGACGAGATTTTACGAGAGAATTGGTCATGGAAGAAGAAAGAAATGTTGATGATACTGAGGAAGCTATAGTTCAAATAAAAGATACGAAATGGACCGATCAGAGGCACGAGCACATCTGAAAAAACAAACAACTTTTTGTCCAAGCTGTCCTGATCAACCTCAACTTTGCAGAGAATGTTTTAATGTTATACACTGCGAATAATTTTGTTAATAAACCATTTTTATAAGAATTCGATAGTTTCATTACCTCCTGTAGAATATTTGTCGAAATATTTTCGGAAATCCTTTGTGAGTAGTCAAATCAGCGTCACCCGAATTATGGATAACGTGGCCTGATGAGAACTTTTGCTGTCATCCGAATACGGGTGACGCGGCAGTCAACGTGTTAGTCGAGTTTTAAAAGAGTTATTACGTTTTAGAAGGTGTACACTTCTGTGAGCCACTGTATATTACTAGAGACAAGTCTGCGTGAAATGGTTGACGATCGAATACGAGATGCTTCCATCGCGATTGTTCTCATGTAAGTACGCAGTCGTGTCGTGACAGCTCGAATATAATTTAACCTTCACAGCTTTTCCCATAAGACCGGAATCGTTTCTGAACAAGTTGCCTTGGAACAGATCGAAGCGCTGACACTTCGGTAAACAATAACATTCGTATGCGGAACATGTGCGAAACGAAACGACAACAGCGGACAGAGTTTCTTGTAACAACAACTGCTCGAGGATCCAAATCAACCTGTGTCTTAACCCTTTGCACTCGAATGGCGACTCTGAGGCGCCACTAAAAATTGGTGTACTATTTTTCAAAATCATTCTAAGAGCATCGGACTCGTTTCTACTTGGAAAGAAACTATTCAAATTGCATTGTACTTGTCAACAGGCTCAATTTCATGTGCATAAGTCGCAATAAATTATATAAAATAGAACTACTGTAGATCATGTTTTGGATTTCGAATTCGAATAGCTTCGACCGCAAAGGGTTAAAAGTAAATTAGCCCCAGGAGATATCGTTTCGCCGCGTTGTGCAACCTGACCGCGCTCCTCGAATGAATCAAACAAAACCGTCGGGCAAATATTTACGCGCCTAAGTACGGCTAATCGCGCTTCGAACGCGGCGACGTGGTTAAAAGTTAAGTCTTCCGCTTAGGCTTCCGTTCTCTCGCTGGCTCTCGCCTAGCCTCTCGTTACCGATGCGCCTGTGTAATCGTGCCCGCGCGTATCCGCGCCCCACGAATACGTTTTCACCGTAGTTTTCGCAACACGCGCACACATCCCCCTTGAAGGTAGCAAGTAATCTTAACAATCTGAACGAGCGTTTCCGGTGGTCGTCGCTGCTTCGGTATATCTGTCTGTCCGTTAGACCATATAGAACTGTAGACACGGCTTCGGACACTTTGAAGCAAGAACGAATCATCTGCACGACGTGACAGTGAACTCGATGCTAGCACGATGTATCTGCAATTTCGAAAGACACGCCGATGTTCCAAACGTGTTGAACTGTTTTAATTGTTTCGCAACAGATTTTGCAAACATCGAGATGTTGTTATACAAATGCGAATTGAAAAAAAATATTATTATGCTGCTCGAAAATTTTATGGGAACTGATAGATAAATTTTGCGTGTTTTAATTGTGCATTTTAAGTATAAAGAAAAATAATAATTAAAAAGAGATGCCGCTTTGACACGAATATATTGTGTCGCCATGTCGGCGACATCCGAGTGCAAAGGGTTAATATTCGACGTTAATGAGTATGCAAATATGAGAAAGCAAATTCAATTAATGAAACATGAAATATTATATTTAGCTAATACCCAAATTAAGAGTAACAAGATACTTTCCAGTGGAAAAATACGTTTCCACCATATTATGTATTTCGATTCTGTTTGCAGCCGTTGAAACAACGCGCGCGCACCATTGTTTTAAAAAATATTGCAAAACGCGATGATGCGTATTGTATACATAGATAGCATCTAAGGTTTGAACTTGAATGATCGATCTGACGCCGTGTCGGTTATATTTTGAATAATCATCTTTACTTTTACTTTCATTGCTTTTTGTACACGCACTATACACGTGCCGTATCTAGTAGTATACATGGTCTAAGGTCTGTCCTAATGCCTCGAAAACATTACGCATATTACGATCACCATTTGTACGACCGAGACAGGACGTTCTCCAGCGAATGACAACCGAGAAAGAGTGATCACAACGGAACTAGAACTCAAACAAAAGGTGGCAATTATCCGAGCGACGAGAAGGTCTGCGCGCAAAAACAGAAATCTACGGCAGCAGCGCTGATCAACAAGCCCCGGAATCCTCCGCTCTATCGTAGTTAGGTCCCCTACTCTCCGCCTCGAGTCCCAACTCCGTCATCACAGATCAGTGCTGTCCAATGTTAACTCCGGAACATTGGGTCCTTCCACCATCCTGCTATATCGGACCCAACAGTGAACTCGGCCCAATTCAACGTTAGCTCGCCAATTACACGTTGACTTTCTCGTGTCTCCGTACACGTCCCAAACGAATACGATCCGCACAGTTGGACAGCACTGTTTCTCTGTTCCCGGAGCATCTTTCCTCCTCGATCAACCGAAAAGCGCGGAAAGCAATGTGTACTCGTGTTAGCGACAGTCACAGAAACTCGCCGGTAGAACTCTATACGCGCGATAATATACAACGAAGGAACTAGCATTCTTGTTTCATTAGGTCCGGACATATTGAGATCCTCTATCGATCCCGACTGGCCATGAACCCCTCGCGACACTCGCGCGCGCCCACGCGAACGCGATTCTACGTATATGTACACATAGAACGTGCACCCCAAGCGACGACTATTCCGCCGCTATTATGTACCTCTTTCGCTGGATTCTTCTCGTGGCTTTTCTTCGTCTTCTTCTTCTTCGTTGATTTCATCACGTTCCCACCGTGATCCCCGATCCTACTACAAACTGCACGCAAAGAAGCTGCAGCGAGTCGGCTCGAGGATTACGTCTCCTTCATCATCATCTTCTTCTTCCTCCACCTCCTCCTCCTCCTCCTCCTTCTTCCCCTCTTCACAGAGAAGCATCGCGACACCTCCGCCGCGCTCTCTCCTAATCATTCCTCTTCCCCAACGTCCTAAACAGATTCTCACAGTTATCCAAAGGAATCAGCTTGGGTAGAGTCTCGCGAGATTTAGATAGATCAGGCGGGTTTGTTTTTTAGGAAGGGGAGCCGCGAGCGTGCATCGACTCTCTCGTTTGGAAACTAAACACGGGAACCCGATTTTCGCTTTATCCCCATTATGGATTTATCCGTCCTCGGCTAGCCTGTACTGGTCGTTTTTTGCGTTCGTCCTGCGTCTCCGTGAGCAACGTGCCAAAAAAGGGGGTTGATCGAGCGAAAGGAACACAATACTTTCATTCTATCTCGCGACGTCACTGTGTGAGGAGAAACCTAGAGAAGAGAGCACACGGCAACCTACTGGTTACGTATATTCGACAGCTCGAGAAGCCCACAGCTGCCGCTCGCCACACGGTCCTCCCTCCTTGGACATCGCGTACTCGAGCGAGGCCTCCTCTCCCTCGCGCGGACAGAGGAGACCGGAGAACTCGAAGCTGTTTCTTCACCTTCTAAATAACCCACGGTGAGTTCTGTTCTTCGTCTTCGTCGATCTTTCACAGCGATCATCTCTATCATCCTTCTTCGTCGATCTTCTGTTCCTCGACTTCGACAATTCTTCTGTAGTGTTACGTTTTATTCTTCGTCATCGTCGTCATCGTCGTCGTCGTCGTCGTCTTTGCCATGTTCACGGTTCCTCGGGTCAACCATTCTCTGGAATCAACCTGATCTTCACCGGCGAACGACACGCGCGGACTCTTCCTCCAACACCTTCTTCACGATCACCCTCTCTTCACGATCATCTTCTTCGCGATCATCTCCCGCTTTCTTTGCTTCTACTTCTTCTTCTGCTTCTTCTGCTTCTTCTGCTTCTTCTTAATCTTCTTCTTCGTCCTCGTGTTTGTCCTCTTCCGGTTAGCCAGGGTTTTGTTTACCATGCCGACGCCGGCGGATCCGGGCACGATCGTGCCACCGCCTCGTTCCTCCCCTCAGTCGTGGTAACGGGTGCGGAGGTACGTCGGATCTCGATCGGTTTCGAGCCGGAAATTGGTGGCCGGCCCAAAACCCCCTGACTGTTTCACGACAAGTTTCGCTGGTCCTCCCCGCACTCCTCAGCCTTCCTCAACGACCTCTTCAGCTTGTCCACCAGCCGATTGTGGAACTTGTTCAGGGAGTTCGAGCTGCCGGTCTTCGGCGGAGACGAGCCGGTACTCTTGCTCGGGCTCTGCAACGAGGACTGCGACGCCCTCGAGGACGTCCTCGAGAAGTGCCGGGAGGTGAGCGGCACCGAACGATGCGCCGGGGACGTCAAGAAGTCCGAGCCCGGGGATGTCGACAGCGACGGGCCCTCCGACTTTGAACATTCCGACACCTGCAATCAGACACGGGTAATTCCCTTCGTTAGAAAACGTGTCGCCAACTTCGGCCGTTTAGTTTTCTCGGCACTTCGGGGACCGATCGTTTTTCAAGGTTTCAATTAGCCGCTTTTGTTTGTTTCTAGAAAAATACGGGCGAAGAGACCACTGGAGTTGAAAACTGCTTCTTGGGAAAGAGGCTTTTCTGAAAATGAGCCTTCTTTCTGGAGAAAAATGAATTTAATGTTTGCCTCTATGGTCAGTGAAACACTTCTTTAACAGTTTTATGCGATCCTTTTTTAGTGAAGACGAACTTTTGTCCTCGAGAGTTCATCTCTACTTTAAAAATCCCCTATGTACTTTTTTTAGCTACTTCAATATACAAGATGTCCCAAAATTATGGTACTTCCGGGAAATTAGAGATTTCTGAGATCATTCGAAGGAACTTTTTCCTTTACAAAAATATTCTCCGAGGCATCGTTAACGAGTTATTAACGGAAAACACTGACCAATGAGGGGCGAGCACTCGGCTGCCACAGTGTTTTTCTTTAACAACTCGTAAACAAAACCGCGGTTTGCATTTGCGCCGAGGAAAAAGTTACTTCAAATGACTTCAGGAACCTTTCATTTCCCAGAAGTACCCATAATTTTGGGTCACCCTGCATACATATTGCAGCACGTACAGCAAGTCCCACAAAAACACACGCTGCACATCGAGTGCTTTGCCATTTTGAAACGAAGAAATAAGTAAAATTTTGTTTGTATTCTTCAAAACATGTACAAGAATTGGATAAATTCATTCTTCTCAAAAGCATAGGTACATTTTAAAAGAAGCCGTTAATGTTCTTCGATACTAGGTACATACCACAAGAGTTGGACACTCTTTTTCCAAAAGTGACTTTCAACTCCGACGGTTCTCCTTGTCAGCACAATCTACCTATGTCGTCCCCAATGTGTACATTCATAGAGGATATATGTATACCATAGAGGAAAATAGACTCCATACTCTGGAGCAGCTCCTAACATTACACGAAATTCGACAACTCGCATCTTACACGTTTCAACCTTAACTTTGCAATACGAAACCCGATCTAATAATGTCCACGATATGAAAAAAAAGGAAAAATACTGGGTATCCCTATCATCTTTTTAACTAACATAACTAATTTCGTTAAATCTTATCGGTGCGTATGCTTGATAATTCTTTTCTACAGGGTGTCCCATAATTATATCAACACCCGGAAAGAAGTGATTCCTGAGGTCATTTTCTCAGCGAAAATGCAGTCCGCGACTTTGTTTATGAAATGAGTTATGAACGAAAGACAGTGACCAATGAGGACGAACTCGCTTGGCGCGAGACAGCCGAGCCAGTGAGCGGAACTGGGGTTCGTGCGCTCATTGACTGAGCCGCCTCGCGCCAGGCGAGCTCGCCTCTCATTGGTCACTGTTTTTCCTGAATAACTCGTAAACAAAGCCGCGGGTTGCATTTTCGCTAAGGAAAAAGTTACTTCAAATGACCTCAGGAATCACTCTCTTCCGGGTGTTAACACAATTATGGGACACCCTGTAGAAAAGAATGATCAAGCATATGCATCGATAAGATTTATGGAAATTAGTTACGTAAGTTAAAAAGATGATAGGAATATATGTACAAAACGAGGCAATGAAACTTTACTGCGCCGACAACGTTTATCGTGTTTCGAATGAGGCACGAATACTTTTTATTCTTTTTAACGTACATATTTTCTCGTCATTTAGAAATTTACACAAAGTTTACACAGCCTCTCTAGTAAAATCCTCCTTAGTATAAAAAATTAACAAATCTTATTCCACGATCACGTAATTTCTTGACACTAATTCCCCTTTCCATCACATTCTCCATCAAATCCGTCTTGAACCCCAACAAAATGTTGTGAAACTAAAATAAGTGTGTTTTTTCTTACTACTTGTATGCTATAATTTTAAGATAAACGCTGTTGTCACTTATCGTAGAATCTCTAAGGAATAGTTAATCATTTTTAAGATCCAAAATAGTAAAGAATTTAACCCTTTTAAATGTTCAGTCCATCTAATTTCTGGTATCTACAAAAAAATTTGATCTGCCGTGATCTTTATATATACATAATTTATGATACATATTATGATGTAAGTGCAAGTAGTATAATCTGAGTGACACAATCACATCTAACACGAATACAATGCAAAACCATAGAAATAATATAATCAGTAGACATTTCTGCTATTGTACTTTCTCAATTTAGTGAGCACTGGAAACATGTCAGCGTAGCGTATGAAATGTACAGTAAAGATTACCATCGACTGGATCAATAAAATAACATTTGGCATGCGTTTAATTGTTACGAGTATAGCCCGTATGTGATTTCACGGTGCTCGAATGATCAATGAATCGAAAGTCGTTATGCACGGTCATTGAGCGTTCCTGTCATCTTATTTAATCGGCGGCTTCGCTTCTGCCGAGAAATGTAAAAACCGGTCTACTTTCACCTCGATTCTACGATTTGTACCGAAGCCTCGCGAAGATTTAACGAAGGCGCGCGCGGCTTCGTTGACTTTCCAATCGACGTGCTCCGAAACGAGCCGCGCGGCTAGCGGATGACGATCTTCCTGCGACATTTCTCGGGCACGAACGAGTTCATCGCATCAAATAATCAAAGCCGCACGTGTGCACGTGCGCCATGACCGCGGACACGTTGAATTTCTCGCCGCAGTTTCCCACCCCCTGGATTACACGCGATTGCATAATACGTACTAGCACATAAACACATATGGATCGCGACACGTGGCCTTGTATCGAATGAAAATAATATCCTGACGCAAGGATTACCGGCAACGATTTTCCATTGTGTGCTCATTTCGAATTGCATTGACACACTCCGCGCTATTCCAGAGTTTATACATATATTTGTTCCGTACGCATTTATAGAATTTCCCCATTCGTATTCCCTACACGTCTTCGAATGCCATGAGATGTTAATTGGCAATTTTTTCGTAAATTTACATATCTTTTTATTTGCTATAATAAGTGAATATATATAGATATAAAGATCGCTATAAACATCAGTAATGCAGCGGTAAATCTACCGACGGGCATCTTACGTGACGTCGGATCTGCGTCAAACAGTGCTTGTTTCATCTCTGAAGAGATTTTTTCATTTCTCTTGATTTCTAATGAATATTTTACAAAACAGTACTACTATCGTACGAGCAATATTTTGAAGTCAGTGTTACAGTGATTTTTAAACGGAATTACAGACGCAGTTTTCACACAATCATGATTCGTGTGATTCTAATAGAAGACAAGTTTCAAATGTTATTAGAGAGAATTTCCGATTGTTTGGAAAGCGCATTGCACGATATAGGACAGACATCTGTATTCATAATTGAAAGTGTAACAGCAGAACACAGTGCCAGACCGGTAATTTTCACGCCGTGCAATACACCGACCGATAACTATCTTGTTCGAGCCGGTAGTTATCGATTAACATGATTTGCAGTTCTGCACAACTTACAGCGACCCACTCTTTCTATCTCTCGCTCTCGTTTTTTTTTCAATGCAATACGGTGCCTTGAAATTTATGAACCACGCGGGTATTCGTAACGAAAAAAATCCAATAACTTGATCGATGAAAACTCGGACTTCCGGTGTACGAATTCTGGAACTATTAGGTTGGCAACTAAGTAATTGCCGATTTCAGTTATAGATGTCTCTCGCTCCCATTTTTATGATATCCGTAAATGTTATATTATAAAATTATTATTATTATTATTATGTTATTTTTTATTATCCGTGAATGTTAGCAACTGGACAAATTGAATGCAGCGGTCAAGGAAAAGCGACCAGAATTGGTCGATCGTAAAGGTGTCATTTTCGACCAGGACAATGTTAGGCCTGTCTCTTATACACATCTCATCTGTATTCATAATTGAAAGTGTAACAGCCTGTCTCTTATACACATCTCATCTGTATTCATAATTGAAAGTGTAACAGCCTGTCTCTTATACACATCTCATCTGTATTCATAATTGAAAGTGTAACAGCCTGTCTCTTATACACATCTCATCTGTATTCATAATTGAAAGTGTAACAGCCTGTCTCTTATACACATCTCATCTGTATTCATAATTGAAAGTGTAACAGCCTGTCTCTTATACACATCTCATCTGTATTCATAATTGAAAGTGTAACAGCCTGTCTCTTATACACATCTCATCTGTATTCATAATTGAAAGTGTAACAGCCTGTCTCTTATACACATCTCATCTGTATTCATAATTGAAAGTGTAACAGCCTGTCTCTTATACACATCTCATCTGTATTCATAATTGAAAGTGTAACAGCCTGTCTCTTATACACATCTCATCTGTATTCATAATTGAAAGTGTAACAGCCTGTCTCTTATACACATCTCATCTGTATTCATAATTGAAAGTGTAACAGCCTGTCTCTTATACACATCTCATCTGTATTCATAATTGAAAGTGTAACAGCCTGTCTCTTATACACATCTCATCTGTATTCATAATTGAAAGTGTAACAGCCTGTCTCTTATACACATCTCATCTGTATTCATAATTGAAAGTGTAACAGCCTGTCTCTTATACACATCTCATCTGTATTCATAATTGAAAGTGTAACAGCCTGTCTCTTATACACATCTCATCTGTATTCATAATTGAAAGTGTAACAGCCTGTCTCTTATACACATCTCATCTGTATTCATAATTGAAAGTGTAACAGCCTGTCTCTTATACACATCTCATCTGTATTCATAATTGAAAGTGTAACAGCCTGTCTCTTATACACATCTAGATGTGTATAAGAGACAGAATCGGCAATTACTTAGTTGCCAACCCAATATATGTGAATCACTTGTAACATCAATTCCCAACCAATGTCCATGAATTTTTGCCGAGTGGAAAAAGACGTGTGCGGCCTAACATTGTCCTGGTCGAAAATGACACCTTTACGATTGACCAATTCTGGTCGCTTTTCCTTGACCGCTGCATTCAATATGTCCAGTTGCTAACATTCACGGATAATAAAAAATAACATAATAATAATAATAATAATTATTATTATTTTATAATATAATATTTACGGATATCATAAAAATGGGAGTGAGAGACATCTATAACTGAAATCGGCAATTACTTAGTTGCCAACCCAATATATGTGAATCACTTGTAACATCAATTCCCAACCAATGTCCATGAATTTTTGCCGAGTGGAAAAAGACGTGTGCGGCCTAACATTGTCCTGGTCGAAAATGACACCTTTACGATTGACCAATTCTGGTCGCTTTTCCTTGACCGCTGCATTCAATATGTCCAGTTGCTAACATTCACGGATAATAAAAAATAACATAATAATAATAATAATAATAATAATAATTTTATAATATAACATTTACGGATATCATAAAAATGGGAGCGAGAGACATCTATAACTGAAATCGGCAATTACTTAGTTGCCAAGCCAATAGATTCTAGAATACTTTGGAATAAACGGATAAATATGAATAGAATACGATTTAAAGTAACAAAATTTAGGATCAGTTCCTACTTTTTGCGTCGGTTTATTCGCGATCGAAGATACGCTCGACGAAGTGAACGACGCCTCCGGAAAGCGAAAGAATGCAACGCGAAATCGCGTGCAATCCTTTCTATCTGCGTCTCGTGGAATCGTTTGTACGATCGTTGAAGTGAGCAATTCGTATCGATAACGGAAACTCAGAAAATCTACTAGATCGTTCTAGACCATGAAAACTGCGAGATTCGTTATCAATGACATATCGGATTATGACATGAATAAGGTATATCCGATAAGGGTGTCCCCTATCGAGAAGTCATGCAGCGCATTATGAAATTGAGAATCGAAGTTGCGCAATCGTACGTCACACCGACGAAGAGGCGTTTGGCCGTTGATATTCAACTAGGTGAAACAAGAGCCCATATTTTTACCCGAATGCAACCATTTGCTACATTCGACGATTCTGTTGGTTTCTCGTAATTTTGATTTTGCGATATTTGGAACTCGGATTAGTCGGTCGTTTATGTCAATGTGCGTGTCTTTCGTATATCATCCTTGGAATCGTCGTTAACATAACTGCCACACGATTGTTACATAAATTCTTCAAATTATTGAATACTATAACGTCGTAGCCGCGTATTACAAGCTATCAAGCGCGCGATGCAATTCTGAAAAGTAACTTGGTTTTACCTCCCGGGAACTGTTGAACCAAGGACGTAATTTACACTTGACTCCTAGACCGCATTCGCCGCACATTTTGGCTGCAATTTGCTCCGAACGTGAAACTAAAGTTTGCTCTTACGTCAAACGCAACCTTGACTCTGACCGACAGTTAAAACAATTATACAATGATAATCGTATCAAACGTTATAAGTATCGATAATGAAGTCAAGTCGATAACGTAGTCGATAACGAAGTCGATGACGAATTGAAAATTTCCCACAGCCTTGAGTACTCGATGAAATTTTTGTTCTACGACAACACAAATATTGATAATTATAGATGGACATTGGAGTACTGTTTGACTTTCTACGTCGTTAAGTGAATGTCACTCTTAAGTCCCGTCATATTTTCGCCAAGTTTCCTAAGACTCTCGATTCGCGGGAAACAATGGAAATTCGCATCATTGTTTGCCTCTGTGACCTAATCGAAGTTTGCGTTTATGTTCCAGTCAGCCAACGCGCAAAGATCGCCACCCGTTTCTGTTGCCTTGGTCAGCGCGATGTAAGACTGTCAACAAGCATTACCTCACCTAACACGCCGGGCGAAATAAAGCCGCGGCTGTTTTGTCACCCGTTACCGGGGCAGCTTTCGTCGCGCTTAATTAACCGACTGACTAAGCACGAAATTATTTTCAATCGACATTCCCGATCCTATATGGCTCGTTCAAGAAATTCCCGGTTAAAGTCCGTTGGACGTTCGCGCGCGATCCTGAATACCAATCAGGAACGATCTGGTTGACGATCCTCGGACGAGGCACGCGTTAACGTTTCGGCAAAGAAACTGGTTCCGTTCACTTGTCCTCTATGATTTCTCGAATTAACCCGTTCTTGAAATTAGAAAGATATCCAGTCGATCCTGTCGCATCTCTCATGATGATGTACGGGCATTCCAATAGATTCTATAGAAATCTAATAAGACTGGAAAAATGTGATGATATTTTATTTTTAATTTTTAATGTATCATATAATTATAATTTAAAATATGATGATACATTAAATTAAATTATAATTATATTATATAATTAAATATAATAATGTAATTATATATATTATATAATAATATTATATAATTATAATTTAATTTAATGTATAATTAAATTATTGTATTGTATTAATGTATCATTAATTATATAATATATATAATTATATATATTATTATTATATAATATAATTATAATTTAATTTAATGTATCATATTTTTGTTATTTACATTACTAAGACGAACGATGGAGCTACATGGGCATCGATTTCGTTCTTTGGTTATTTTAATGAGATGAAACTAATGCATCGGTATTTTTAAGTTCTGTTAAATATACTGTTACTGTTTCTCATATTTAATTTACATATTTTTGTTAGAAGTGCATAAAGTCCGTAGTCTACTAATCGTTTACATAACGGCATGAAACATATGTTGTCAACTCTAACACCTGATCTTACACCCTGCACAACCAATAATTCTGACTAGTATTTCTCTGCGCAACCAATAATTCTGACTAATACTACTCTCTGCTTGCCTGCCGGAGAATTTCTGAATTCATGCAAATGATTTATACATTATAACAGAGATTGCGCCAAATTGAGCGTTTACGGTTCTTTCACGAAACAAGAGCTCAATGTTTCTCGAAGCGTATACTGATTAATGCTCGATTTAAATTGACGGTATTTATGACGACGAGTGACAGTAGTCGTCGTAGCACGTTCTCTTCAGCACGTTCTGTGCGAAGTTGGTACACAAACGTCACGATCATCATTTTTCATTTACAACTGAAAAATTTGATCGAAGAACGAACAACCGTAGAGAACTGTCGATTCATTATTTCCCCGATATTACTCGTAAAAGAATTACTATTTCTATCTCTACACATATGTCGAATAGAGAAGTACCCATGACACAATGTGAATTCTAAACGAGAAATGAACACTAAGCGATCGGTGTCAGTCTATATTCAACTTGGAATCAAGTTTATTATGATCATATGACATTGTCATACAATAATAAACATTGCCACGTTATGAAACTCCTGTCCACAGTGAACCCCACATGTCTCGTTCGGAAAGAGTCGACCTGTATTGAGCTACGGGCTAACTGCGTGATCTGCATCCTCTAGGTGCGCGGAGAGGAAATCATAGATCGCTGGAATGCCTCGTTAAGAGAACTACATCGTGCAGATGTATCGCTTTAGAGACCGCGGATCTCGAAATAACGGGAACAGTTACTCGAAAACCGGAATGTTTGAGTCCTAATGAAACAAGAGAGTGCCATGCAGCATATAGAAGGACGGTAAACATCTTTTTTTTTTCTCTGGTACTCACCTTCCTGCTGCGACAAGCCTGGGGATTAGAGCACTCCGAGGATCGTCGGTTGCGGTTAGTCTTGTAAATGTCCCACTCGTTTTTCACTACGGGCATCATAAACGCCATCTCGATCAGCCGGCACTCGTCAGCGCGCACTCTATTCCTCTTTGTCCCTCTCGCAGGCCCCGTTCCCTTTCTCACGCTCCGCGCCTCTAGTCGCCGTCTTTCTCCCTCCGTTTCTCTGGAAAGTTCAAACCAGGAGAATACAGTTTTCCCCGAGCGGGTTTCGCACACCGCGTTCGACTTCACTGGCCTCTGGGTCCTTTTGTCGCCGCAGGTCCTACACAACGGATCCAGCGGAACCAGCGCGCGCAAATTTCTCTCTTTCTCCGTCTCTTCCGCGAAAATAATATTTCGCGATGCCTTTAACGGTCGCCGATTATCCTCTCGTTAAAACGTATATTCGTATCGATCGTGTTTTTCTGTGTTCTCGGCTTTTTCTTTCGTTTCACGCGTCCCGTGGTCAGTGTTTCCGCTGATTAATTGATGATCCGCGTGTTGTGCGGTTGCTCGGTACGGGTTGTTGGTCTCTAGTGTCGACTGGAAAACTGCATACACGTCCGTGTCGGTTTCACGGTAGCTCGGCGAGCTGCTTTTTCAACAACGACGTTCGAATACACGCGCGTCCGATATGGGCAGCTGTCTGCTACGGAATGAGCACGCCGGCCGCCGTGTGGTTAGGTGTAAAAGCTTGCCCCGGTGGGGACCAGACCGGCAGCTGATTGGTCCGTCCTGAGGCGGGACTCCTACGTCACGGGTTACCATTGATTTTCCAATGTTGATACACACGACGGCATGACGTTCCGGATTGATTTTCTGGCCGCGGTTCCTGCTGGATCGCACGTACGTAACCACCGATGACAGACGTCAGCGTTAACAGCTCTACAGTCGACAAACGATCCTACAGACCGCCATCTTCCTGATGTTGCGCGACCCGTCCTCGACCCTTTGATACCAAGCTGCGAATATTATGGCTGGACCCATTCAAGGTCGACCGGTAAATTGCGTAGGAATCTCAAACGAAAAGGCGCACGTGCGTTGCACGTTGACACCGTATACTTCTGATCAGAGACGTCGGTTAGATCGATGGTCGGGATTCTTTCCTTGTGGAAGATCTTCCTTCCGGGGCTGATAATGCAGTTCAAAGCGGAAGGATTGCCGAAATTGATAGCTGTATCCATAATATTTAAACAGAGATGTGTTCAGTCATCGAACTATACATCGAACAAGAAACGTGCGGTTGCTGAGATGTAAGAACAACAAGGCTGATCATACATTTTATTTTGGCGTGTGTTTGCAAAGTAAATTATCCTCAATATTGTTTTCTGCAAAAAAGTGTACTTAACAGTTTACCATTCGATGACAGTGTATCGACAGACGGTACAGTAGAGACACACTGACAATCGATATTGTACCATATGTCGATTATGTCAATAATGTCAATATTTCAGAAAGTGTGACATCTCAAAGTTAGGATCTTAAGGATACTGACACCACAGACGAAGTATAGGAGTAGTCTGGATATCCAATGTATTATGTATTTTATCACCCAGAAATGGTGCTTCAAAAGTCCCATTACCATTCCCATGTCGCGCCCATCGTTACCGATATTTTAGAAATGAAAAAGCTTGTTAGTGAGGATGGAGTATTTTGTATAGCTCGTTCGTATTACGGCACATTCTATGTGATGGAAGCTACAAATTCATACAACGTGTACATTCAAACAATGAAAATGGTATCTATATATAAAATGGTATCATCTGCAATTAACTTGATTAATTATGTCATTAAAAACAGAGGATATCACAATTATTACATTATTATAAGGAATCTTTGTACGCCCAGAAAATTTAAAAAGTTGATTGTGCATGATTTATTTCTATACATATAAGCAAGTAAGATTTGTAAACATTACAAAAATTTCAATTAACGTCCTTAATAAATGGAAGGTTTTCGTTTTAATCTAAAAAGCTTTTTTATCTGCTAGCTTCACAAAATTTGAAAATGTTTGTATTGTTGAATTAAATTCTTTTATAAATAAATAAATTCTTTTTATGTATACATATAAGAAAATGCAGTCGTTTAACGTTTTCTATGATAGGAGAAAGAAACAGTGGCGTCGGTATTTCACAACATGTGTCGCAGACAAGGAACCACATATGCTGTTCAGTCTACTCTGATACGTCGTCTATGACTGTCACGTGACCGTCAGAAAATAACAGTGCTCATCGTCTCCGATCGGCTCATCGCGATCCAATGTATCGTTACAGTATTTACAACTAGTCTGTATTATATCTTGTGTAAAATTAAATTTATAATGAAACAACCACAATATGGTTAAATGTATTGTTTGGTTAAAACTAAAAAGACATCAATTTACAAACATTCCTTTGTCAGTTTTCATAACCTAACTTAAACAGATCTAACAAAAAGTCGAGGGGATAGAAAGCCCATTTTTTATTCAGATTACTCGCGCGTGAAAATGAACTCGAAAAATGAATATCGCAGGTCAATAGACGAGTATAAACCTGCTGTTCCAATAAGAAGGAAGATCGGTCCGTATTGGTTTCTAGCGGCTTTAAGAATTATTTTGACATTAATTCCTCAATCGGGATACATCCATCCTGACGAATATTTTCAATCCATCGAAGTTGTATCTGGTGAGTTATATTATTAATTATCAATAAAAATGATAACCATCTGTATCATACCTTAGAATACGATTTGTGAACAAGAATTGAAATTACTCTACTATGATACACCAATGTCATAAAATTTCATTATTATTATAATGAAGCAGTCGTGTAACATAGAACTATTTAAATCTTTCAGGGGATTATTTTGATATTGATGTTCATAAACCATGGGAATTTAATTCCACATTTCCCATAAGAACTGCTTTAATACCACAAATTACTGTTGGTATACCATATTCGATCTTAACAAGAGTATCACAGTATACACGTTTCTACTTTGGCATGTCATTAAAGATACCATACTTTCTTGTATTACTTCCACGTCTATTGATGTGTGGCTTATCCTTTGTATCAGACTATTGTCTATATAAAATATGCTACATGTATGGACAAAATTATAAAATAAGACTGATCGCTTATGCCAGTTCCTATGTTATGCTTATTTATGCGACACGTACATTATCAAATACTGTCGAGTTGGTATTGACAGCTTTGTTACTGTACTATGCATCATACTGTATGGTATATTCAGAAAAGGTACAATTTTGTTTTAAATAAGTAATCAAGTAAATATAATTACGTATACAATACTTTCACAGATATAGGGAAATCCATTAGGCACTCTCTAATTTCTAATTGTTAGAATGCATCTAATTATTGTATCTTATTAAGTGAGGATCAGAACACAGTTACTTGCCATTTTCATAGTCATAAGAAATGTAATACAAAAAATATTTATTATTCCAGGTAGTTATTCAAAGCGACTATCTCTCAGACAAATATAATAAAGCACAAACTGGAGTGGACAGAGTAAAATATTATAAGCTCAAAGCTACGCTACCACCACATTCTTTAAACCATTGTTTCAAAATTGCAACAATTACAGTAGTTGGTATATTTAATAGACCAACATTCATTGCATTTGCATTTTCCCCTATATTTTTTTGGTTGCAAAGAGGTCTAGGCTCAAGGAGCGTAGGCTTTGGAGATTTTCACATTCGAATATTCACTCTTGTAGCATGTGGAATACCTGTAGCTATCTTTTTTATTCTAGTCGACAGCTTTTATTTTGGTTATTTAACTATGGCAGAAATCGGTAGTCTTAGTATTAGTATGAATAATTTTGTAGTAACACCACTCAATTTCTTCAAGTACAATGCAAACAGCAAAAACTTACAAAGTCATGGATTACATCCATATTATGTACATTTCATAGTAAATGTTCCTCTTTTATTCAATGTTCTTGGAGTTATTGGCCTCTTTACATTTGGCAAAATGTTACACAGGTGAATGAATGATTTATCAATATAATCTTTATTACTTTAAATTGTTGATATATAAAATTATTAACTGTAATTACTTACAGTGGCTTGAAAGCTCGCTGGTTGGATTTGCCGCGTATACAAAGTGTTGTTGGTTTGATGACTGCATCTTTTATTATCCCCATTGTAATGCTGTCTATTTTCCCACATCAAGAACCTCGATTTATAATACCAACGGTTCTACCTCTGGTTTTCTTGTACGCACCAGATTTAAATCAAATTTCAGGTGTTGATACTGTTGCAAAAGTTACTGAGAACAATGCACACGATAGTAACTTTACAACAAAAAAGAAACTCACTAAATTGCAATTGTGTTGGTTCATATGTAATATTGCATTAGCATACTTCTATGGGTTTGCTCACCAAGGTGGAGTTTTACCTTTGACATCTCATTTAGCCAATGAATTGAAAGCTAAACCAGAGCTGACTCATATACATCTATTTACATCAAATACTTATTCTTTACCAACTGCACTTTTACATTTGAGAAATACTAAGAAAACTTATATTAGTAGTGGGAATCATAAGTATAAATTAGTCAAAGATTTTCATCTTTACGAGCAAGGTTCAAAATCTATAAATGATGTGTATAATATTATTGCCTTAAAGATCCGTGATTGTGAACAGAAATATGTTGTAAAAAGGATACCATATAGATTATATTATGCTCTTCCTGGCACTGATATGGAAGAATTTATTTCTATTCAAAATAAGACAAACCTGTTTAATTACCATATAGTAAAGAAATTTCAACCACATGTTACAGTCGAGAAATTACCACTNGATACCATATAGATTATATTATGCTCTTCCTGGCACTGATATGGAAGAATTTATTTCTATTCAAAATAAGACAAACCTGTTTAATTACCATATAGTAAAGAAATTTCAACCACATGTTACAGTCGAGAAATTACCACT